GTCCAATCCGTGTACGACATATTGTTCCCTTTCTTTGTTGCCTCCTATCTAGTTGTGCATCTATGTTAGTGCTCCATCATCGCACGAAGGTGTGAAGCGCAATAAGCCTCTGGCTCCGGATGCGCCAATTAGATCATGCAATTACACCTACTCTATTGGTTGCGGCTCCATCGGTTGTGCCGAAATGACACATCCTATGCGTGTACGACACATTGTTTACTCGTTGGCCATATCCGGTGTATATCGAGTATTGTATCCACCATCGCACAAAGATGTAAAGTGCAATCATCTCTGGCTTTGGATACGGTGCTTTGGATCATGTAATACCACTTCTCCAATGAGTCGAAACCCTCGGTTGTGCTGGAAATGACCGATCCGATTCGTGTACGACACTAGTTTACTCAATGTCCATATTTAGTGCACATCTGAGTTTGAGTTCAACATCACAAAAGACGAGAAGTGCAACTGTCTCTTGCTCTCTTGATACGGTGCTTGGATCATGCAACAACACTTCTCAAATGCGTCAGTACCATCGATTGTGTCGAAATGACTGGTCCAACTTCCGTGTACTTCATATTGTTAAAACCCTCGTTGCCTCTTGCTCTAGTTGTGCATCTATGTTAAGTATCCATCATCGCACTAAGGTGTGAAGCGCAATTGCCTCTGGCTCCGGATGCGCCATTTGGATCATGCGATTACACCTACCGTGTTGGTGGCACCATCGGTTTTGCCGGAAATGACACATCCAATTCGTGTACGACACATTGTTTACTCGTTGGCCATATCCGGTGTTATCGATGTCTGTATCCACCTTCGCACAAAGATGTGAATTGCAATCATCTATGGCTTTAGGATATAGTGCTTGGATCGTGTAGTACCACTTCTCCAATGAAGTCGAAACCCTCGATTGTGCGGAAATGAGGATCCGATTCGTGTACGACACATTGTTTACTCCGTTGCCCATATTTAGTGTACATCTGAGTTTGAGTCCAACATCACAAAAGACGAGAAGCGCACCTGTCTCTGTTCTTGATACGGTGCTTGGATCATGCAACAACAATTCTCAAGTAAGAGTGGTACCATCGATTTTGTCGAAATGACTGGTCCAATCCGTGTACTACATGTTGCTCCCTCGTTGCCTCTGTCTCATTTTATATCTATGTTAGTATCCATCATCGCACGAAGGTAAAGTGAAGCGCAATTGCCTCTGGCTCCGGATGCGCCAATTGGATCATGCGTTTACACCTACTCTAAGTTGGTGGCACCATCGGTTGTGCGGAAATGACACATCCTGTGCGTGTACGATGCATTGTTTACTCGTTGGCCATATCCGGTGTATATCGACACTCTTTTGTATCCACCATCGCACAAAGATGTGAAGTGCAATCATCTCTGGCTCTAGATACGGCGCGCTTGGATCATGCAATCACACTTCTACAATAAGTCGAAACCCTTCGGTTGTGCTGGAACTGACAGATCCGATTCGTGTACAATGACACATTGTTTACTCGTTGCCCATGTTTAGTGTATATCTGAGGTTTGGGTCCAACATCACAAAGAAGCTACGAGAAGCGCAACTGTCCTCGTGCTCTTGATACGGTGCTTGGATCATGCAACAACACTTCTAAAATGCGTCGGTACCATCGATTGTGTCGAAATGACTGGTCCAATCCGTGTACTTCATATTGTTCCCTCGTTGCCCCTATCTAGTTGTGCATCTATGTTAGTATCCATCATCGCACGAAGGTGTGAAGCGCACTTATTGCCTCTGGCTTCGGATGCGCCAATTGGATCATGCGATTACACCTACTGTATTGGTGGCACCATCGGTTGTGCCGAAATGACACATCCAATTCGTGTACGATACATTGTTTTGACTCGCTGGCCATATCCGGTGTATATCGATGCCTGTATCCACCATCACTTAAAGATGTGAAGTGCAATCATTCTCTGGCTCTTGATACGGCGCTTGGATCATGCAGTACCACCTTCTACAATGAGTCGAAACCCTCGGTTGTGCTGAAATGACCGATCCGATTCGTGCACGACTTACATTGTTTCCTCATTGCCCATATCTAGTGTACATCTGAGTTTTGAGTCCAACATCACAAAAGGAGGGGAAGCGCACCTGTCTCTTGCTCTTTATACGTGGTGCTTGGATCATGCAACAACACTTCTCATAAAAATGTCGGTACTATCGATTGTGTCGGAAATGATCTGTGTCCAGTCCGTGTACTACATGTTGTACCCCCTCGTTGCCTCTGTCTAGTTGTGTTTATCTAATGTTAGTATCCAACATCCGCACGAAGGTGTGAAGCGCAATTGAGCCTCTGGCTCCGGATGCGCCAAACAGATCATGCGCTTACACCTACTGTACTTCCCGGTGGCACCATCGGTCGTGCCGAAATGACACATCCTATTCGTGTACGACACATTGGTTTTACTCGTTTGGCCATATCCGGTGTATATCGACATTTGTATCGACCATCGCACAAAAGATGTAAATTTGCGCAATCATCTCTGGCTCTGGATACGGCGCTTGGATCATGTAGTCCCACTTCTCCAAAGCGGAGTCCAAAACCCTCGATTGTGCGAAATGACCGATCCGATTGCGTGTACGACCACATTGTTTACTCAATGTCCATATTTAGTGTACATCTGAGTTTGAGTCCAACATCACAAATGATGAGTAGCGCAACTGTCCTTCTTTCTCTTGATACGGTGCTTGGATCATGCGCAACAACACTTCTCCCGAACATGCATTCGTTACTATCGAATTGTGTCGAAATGTAACAGATCCAACCCGTTATGTACTACATTTTGTTGTTCCCCCCTCGTTGCCTCTGTCTAGTTTTGTATCTATTTTAGTATCCAACATCGCACGAAGGTGTGGAAGGCGCAATTGCCTCTGTTACGGATGCGCCAATTAGATCATGCGATTACACCTACTATGCTGGTGGCTCCATCGGTCGTGCCGAAATCCATCACATTCTATGCGTGTACGACACATTGTTTCCTCAAGTTGGCCATATCCGGTGTTATCGATGCGTTTGCATCCACCCATCGCACAGCAAAGATGTGAATGTGCAATCATCTCTGGCTTTGGATATGGTGCTTGGATCATGTAGTACCACTCCTCCAATGAGTCTGTGAAACCCTCTCGGTTGTGCTGAAATGACGGATCCGATTCGTGTACGACACATTGTTTACTCAATGCCCATATTTAGTGTACATCTGAGGTTTGAGTTCAACATCACAAAAAGACGGAAGCACAACTGTCTCTTGCTCTTGATACGGGGCAAGCCGATCATGCAACAACACTTCTCAAATGCGTCGGTACCATCGATTGTGTCGAAATGACTGGTTCAATCCGTGTACTTCATGTTGTTCTCTCGCTTGCCTCTGTCTGGTTGTTTACCTATGTTAGTGTCCAACATCGTTCACGAAGTTGTGAAGCGCAAGTACCTCCTGGCTCCGGGGGAGACATGTACATCGACCAAATCGAAGTGGCAAACGATCGATAGTCCATGGTATGAGATCTCTTGGATGGTCACCAGCGACCACATTCAGGCAGCAGTCCATTTGCTAGGAATAGAATCTTGTTGAAGCCGAGGTATCTTAGCTCATCATGGCTAGCATCTCAGTACGATGATCAGGGCGGCTTTGGTGAAGTGTGACAGTGGCAGGTTTCATGTAGAGGCGGTTGCGATTTGTGTGTGTGTGTAGCAGAAAGAGAGCTGAAGGCGAGTGATTGTTGGGAAATGTTGTGTAGCGATGCTGTTTGATAATCGATCTTCTTCTGGTGCAGTCTTCGGTGTCGTCTAGTGGTTAGGACGTGAGCTTAACACGCTCAAGATCGTGGGCTCGATCCCCTCCTCCGATATTTGATTGCTGGCTGTACCATTCATCTGCTCTTTTCTGATCAAATGAGCTCCACTCTGGCCAGATTCGATGGCTACACTGGTGATGACCACAGCGGGAGATATCGAAACTCTGTGTCAAAGGTAAACATCAATCACCGTCTTGTTCGCAAGCTGAGATTGATCTGGAATGCGTGAGACACCCACTGGATGGTATCACATTGCCATCTTACGCGGATGTTTACGTGCGGTACGAGCAACGGTAAAGGCGTGCGGTGGAAGACTGTATGTAGCTCGGATGGAAATTGTGTCATGTACATCGCGACTAATGTGTCAGTCGGCAGATGTTGCTGCGGGGCAACGTGGTGACATATCTCAGCAGTGGACGTTCAAAGACAGCTTATCCGAGCGGTTAAAGTGATAGCTCAAAATCTATTGGGGTAACCCGCGTGAGTTCGAGTCTCACAGCCGTCGATGTCATTGCTAACGACAGTTGCCACACAACAAACCCCTTCGGACATTGCTTTGGATAGTAGCGCTTTGTTACAACATGAACGCCTTGACCCTGTCGTTGCATCTGTAAGAAAGAGAGCACATGGAGGCAATGTAATAATGTGGTGTTGGCTCATGATACCATCATTTGTAGGCGACGAAAAAGCGTCTGAATAGTTCGACCAACTGGTTCAGAGGGCCCAGAACCGCATGTGGCGATTGTTGAAGCCTGATGTATAACTAAAGCTTGTAGAATTTCAAAATGCGATTTGGGGATGATTGGACTGCGAGGACAGCTTGGCCGAGTGGTTAAGGCGATAGACTAGAAATCTATTGGGGCGACCCGCGTGAGTCCAAATCTTACAGCTGTCGGATACATTTGGTCGCTCAAGGTGTTTGTACACCACTCACAGACATTCAGCGTCTACGCAAGATGGTTTGTCTTGCCTGCCAAGATCACAGTATTGAAGATGGGTGTGTCTTGCTCACAGTCTCATCACTTGATACCCTTTCCGGATGGTAACCTATCTTTGGCCGCTCAATACCCTCGGTTCCAGCCCAGTAATCAGACTGGATGTGTATGCCATCTACTGGGTGAAGATCTGAAGCAAGGATTCAGTCATGGGGAACGGGCACACGTGGCCACAGCTACACGATAACGTGAATAGAAGAGAGCTCATCGTGTGTGTAGTCGCGGTACAGTTTGTACATCGACTGAATCCAAGTGGCAAACGATCGATAGTCCATGGTATGAGATCTCTTGGATGGTCACCAGCGACCACATTCAGGCAGCAGTCCATTTGCTAGGAATAGAAGCTTGTTGAAGCCGAGGTATCTTAGCTCATCATGGCTAGCATCTCAGTACGATGATCAGGGCGGCTTTGGTGAAGTGTGACAGTGGCAGGTTTCATGTAGAGGCGGTTGCGATTGTGTGTGTGTGTGTAGCAGAAAGAGAGCTGAAGGCGAGTGATTGTTGGGAAATGTTGTGTAGCGATGCTGTTTGATAATCGATCTTCTTCTGGTGCAGTCTTCGGTGTCGTCTAGTGGTTAGGACGTGAGCTTAACACGCTCAAGATCGTGGGCTCGATCCCCTCCTCCGATATTTGATTGCTGGCTGTACCATTCATCTGCTCTTTTCTGATCAAATGAGCTCCACTCTGGCCAGATTCGATGGCTACACTGGTGATGACCACAGCGGGAGATATCGAAACTCTGTGTCAAAGGTAAACATCAATCACCGTCTTGTTCGCAAGCTGAGATTGATCTGGAATGCGTGAGACACCCACTGGATGGTATCACATTGCCATCTTACGCGGATGTTTACGTGCGGTACGAGCAACGGTAAAGGCGTGCGGTGGAAGACTGTATGTAGCTCGGATGGAAATTGTGTCATGTACATCGCGACTAATGTGTCAGTCGGCAGATGTTGCTGCGGGGCAACGTGGTGACATATCTCAGCAGTGGACGTTCAAAGACAGCTTATCCGAGCGGTTAAAGTGATAGCTCAAAATCTATTGGGGTAACCCGCGTGAGTTCGAGTCTCACAGCCGTCGATGTCATTGCTAACGACAGTTGCCACACAACAAACCCCTTCGGACATTGCTTTGGATAGTAGCGCTTTGTTACAACATGAACGCCTTGACCCTGTCGTTGCATCTGTAAGAAAGAGAGCACATGGAGGCAATGTAATAATGTGGTGTTGGCTCATGATACCATCATTTGTAGGCGACGAAAAAGCGTCTGAATAGTTCGACCAACTGGTTCAGAGGGCCCAGAACCGCATGTGGCGATTGTTGAAGCCTGATGTATAACTAAAGCTTGTAGAATTTCAAAATGCGATTTGGGGATGATTGGACTGCGAGGACAGCTTGGCCGAGTGGTTAAGGCGATAGACTAGAAATCTATTGGGGCGACCCGCGTGAGTCCAAATCTTACAGCTGTCGGATACATTTGGTCGCTCAAGGTGTTTGTACACCACTCACAGACATTCAGCGTCTACGCAAGATGGTTTGTCTTGCCTGCCAAGATCACAGTATTGAAGATGGGTGTGTCTTGCTCACAGTCTCATCACTTGATACCCTTTCCATATATCCACCTGTCTTTGGGCGCTCAATACCCTCGGTTCCAGCCCAGTAATCAGACTGGATGTGTATGCCATCTACTGGGTGAAGATCTGAAGCAAGGATTCAGTCATGGGGAACGGGCACACGTGGCCACAGCTACACGATAACGTGAATAGAAGAGAGCTCATCGTGTGTGTAGTCGCGGTACAGTTTGTACATCGACTGAATCCAAGTGGCAAACGATCGATAGTCCATGGTATGAGATCTCTTGGATGGTCACCAGCGACCACATTCAGGCAGCAGTCCATTTGCTAGGAATAGAAGCTTGTTGAAGCCGAGGTATCTTAGCTCATCATGGCTAGCATCTCAGTACGATGATCAGGGCGGCTTTGGTGAAGTGTGACAGTGGCAGGTTTCATGTAGAGGCGGTTGCGATTTGTGTGTGTGTGTAGCAGAAAGAGAGCTGAAGGCGAGTGATTGTTGGGAAATGTTGTGTAGCGATGCTGTTTGATAATCGATCTTCTTCTGGTGCAGTCTTCGGTGTCGTCTAGTGGTTAGGACGTGAGCTTAACACGCTCAAGATCGTGGGCTCGATCCCCTCCTCCGATATTTGATTGCTGGCTGTACCATTCATCTGCTCTTTTCTGATCAAATGAGCTCCACTCTGGCCAGATTCGATGGCTACACTGGTGATGACCACAGCGGGAGATATCGAAACTCTGTGTCAAAGGTAAACATCAATCACCGTCTTGTTCGCAAGCTGAGATTGATCTGGAATGCGTGAGACACCCACTGGATGGTATCACATTGCCATCTTACGCGGATGTTTACGTGCGGTACGAGCAACGGTAAAGGCGTGCGGTGGAAGACTGTATGTAGCTCGGATGGAAATTGTGTCATGTACATCGCGACTAATGTGTCAGTCGGCAGATGTTGCTGCGGGGCAACGTGGTGACATATCTCAGCAGTGGACGTTCAAGACAGCTTATCCGAGCGGTTAAAGTGATAGCTCAAAATCTATTGGGGTAACCCGCGTGAGTTCGAGTCTCACAGCCGTCGATGTCATTGCTAACGACAGTTGCCACACAACAAACCCCTTCGGACATTGCTTTGGATAGTAGCGCTTTGTTACAACATGAACGCCTTGACCCTGTCGTTGCATCTGTAAGAAAGAGAGCACATGGAGGCAATGTAATAATGTGGTGTTGGCTCATGATACCATCATTTGTAGGCGACGAAAAAGCGTCTGAATAGTTCGACCAACTGGTTCAGAGGGCCCAGAACCGCATGTGGCGATTGTTGAAGCCTGATGTATAACTAAAGCTTGTAGAATTTCAAAATGCGATTTGGGGATGATTGGACTGCGAGGACAGCTTGGCCGAGTGGTTAAGGCGATAGACTAGAAATCTATTGGGGCGACCCGCGTGAGTCCAAATCTTACAGCTGTCGGATACATTTGGTCGCTCAAGGTGTTTGTACACCACTCACAGACATTCAGCGTCTACGCAAGATGGTTTGTCTTGCCTGCCAAGATCACAGTATTGAAGATGGGTGTGTCTTGCTCACAGTCTCATCACTTGATACCCTTTCCATATATCCACCTGTCTTTGGGCGCTCAATACCCTCCGGTTCCAGCCCAGTAATCAGACTGGATGTGTATGCCATCTACTGGGTGAAGATCTGAAGCAAGGATTCAGTCATGGGGAACGGGCACACGTGGCCACAGCTACACGATAACGTGAATAGAAGAGAGCTCATCGTGTGTGTAGTCGCGGTACAGTTTGTACATCGACTGAATCCAAGTGGCAAACGATCGATAGTCCATGGTATGAGATCTCTTGGATGGTCACCAGCGACCACTTTCAGGCAGCAGTCCATTTGCTAGGAATAGAAGCTTGTTGAAGCCGAGGTATCTTAGCTCATCATGGCTAGCATCTCAGTACGATGATCAGGGCGGCTTTGGTGAAGTGTGACAGTGGCAGGTTTCATGTAGAGGCGGTTGCGATTTGTGTGTGTGTGTAGCAGAAAGAGAGCTGAAGGCGAGTGATTGTTGGGAAATGTTGTGTAGCGATGCTGTTTGATAATCGATCTTCTTCTGGTGCAGTCTTCGGTGTCGTCTAGTGGTTAGGACGCGAGTTTTACACGCTCAAGATCGTGGGCTCGATCCCCTCCTCCGATATTTGATTGCTGGCTGTACCATTCATCTGCTCTTTTCTGATCAAATGAGCTCCACTCTGGCCAGATTCGATGGCTACACTGGTGATGACCACAGCGGGAGATATCGAAACTCTGTGTCAAAGGTAAACATCAATCACCGTCTTGTTCGCAAGCTGAGATTGATCTGGAATGCGTGAGACACCCACTGGATGGTATCACATTGCCATCTTACGCGGATGTTTACGTGCGGTACGAGCAACGGTAAAGGCGTGCGGTGGAAGACTGTATGTAGCTCGGATGGAAATTGTGTCATGTACATCGCGACTAATGTGTCAGTCGGCAGATGTTGCTGCGGGGCAACGTGGTGACATATCTCAGCAGTGGACGTTCAAAGACAGCTTATCCGAGCGGTTAAAGTGATAGCTCAAAATCTATTGGGGTAACCCGCGTGAGTTCGAGTCTCACAGCCGTCGATGTCATTGCTAACGACAGTTGCCACACAACAAACCCCTTCGGACATTGCTTTGGATAGTAGCGCTTTGTTACAACATGAACGCCTTGACCCTGTCGTTGCATCTGTAAGAAAGAGAGCACATGGAGGCAATGTAATAATGTGGTGTTGGCTCATGATACCATCATTTGTAGGCGACGAAAAAGCGTCTGAATAGTTCGACCAACTGGTTCAGAGGGCCCAGAACCGCATGTGGCGATTGTTGAAGCCTGATGTATAACTAAAGCTTGTAGAATTTCAAAATGCGATTTGGGGATGATTGGACTGCGAGGACAGCTTGGCCGAGTGGTTAAGGCGATAGACTAGAAATCTATTGGGGCGACCCGCGTGAGTCCAAATCTTACAGCTGTCGGATACATTTGGTCGCTCAAGGTGTTTGTACACCACTCACAGACATTCAGCGTCTACGCAAGATGGTTTGTCTTGCCTGCCAAGATCACAGTATTGAAGATGGGTGTGTCTTGCTCACAGTCTCATCACTTGATACCCTTTCCGATGATATCCACCTGTCTTTGGCCGCTCAATACCCTCGGTTCCAGCCCAGTAATCAGACTGGATGTGTATGCCATCTACTGGGTGAAGATCTGAAGCAAGGATTCAGTCATGGGGAACGGGCACACGTGGCCACAGCTACACGATAACGTGAATAGAAGAGAGCTCATCGTGTGTAGTCGCGGTACAGTTTGTACATCGACTGAATCCAAGTGGCAAACGATCGATAGTCCATGGTATGAGATCTCTTGGATGGTCACCAGCGACCACATTCAGGCAGCAGTCCATTTGCTAGAATAGAAGCTTGTTGAAGCCGAGGTATCTTAGCTCATCATGGCTAGCATCTCAGTACGATGATCAGGGCGGCTTTGGTGAAGTGTGACAGTGGCAGGTTTCATGTAGAGGCGGTTGCGATTTGTGTGTGTGTGTAGCAGAAAGAGAGCTGAAGGCGAGTGATTGTTGGGAAATGTTGTGTAGCGATGCTGTTTGATAATCGATCTTCTTCTGGTGCAGTCTTCGGTGTC